AACCCTGCCTTTGTTACAAGTACTGTTTATTTCATATCTTTCACCAGGTGTTCAAGATTTTAACCATGCAGTGGATTGCAGCATGTTTTATTAGTGCATACAGGAACATAAAAACATGTCTTTAAGAAATCAAGTGCCGTTACTCTACTAGGCCTCGTTTTTATTGTTAACTCAGTGTCCCTGGGTCTTGTACCGTGTGTTATGAATAAATCTTTTTTTTTTTTTTTGTACCGGTACTGGTTTTATTTTGTTGTATTTATCTGCAACACCTTAAAGGCCGGTCCGTGAAAATTCTGTTGGACATAAACTGATCCATGGTGCAAAAACGGTTGGGGACCGCTGCTCTTCAGGTCCCACCACAACATTTGACTTTGGGCTATTGTAGCACTTTTCTTGTCTTCTTTTAGCCATTTTTTATTGTCCTATTGACCCAGCATTGTATAATTTTGAGCATTTGACTTTCTAGAACAGAGACGTTCATTGTTGACTGAATGACTCTAAGGTGCAAAATCGTTTAACGCATTTGGCTGTTAACTCACGGGCTGCTGATTTCAGACGACCCAGGGATGTAGTCTCTATGCTTAGAAGTCAAGCACTAATCTATTTTCACAGAGTTCTAGATATCTACCAAAGCAGGTGGAGGTATAATCATCCAGAGAAGAGCTGCTTTATAACAAGCTTTAAAACTCTAAAACCATAACGAACACCAATCTTTCCATTAAGGAATATAAAGAATATAAGAAATAAAGAACCATTTATAACACAAAGTTTTGGTTCAGTAAATGTGGACTCTATAAAAAGATTATCACCATTTTGTCCAGCAAAGCTCCTGTTGAATCCAGTTTTCACTATGGAGTTGCAATTTTCCTGGGTCGTCCCGTGGTACAGAAGTTTCTCCCCTGCTCCTCCCTCCTGTGCGTTCTTATCAGAAATGTGCTTCTTCTGTGCTTCATAGGTGCGCCGCAGGTGAACGTTCTGCAAACGCTCAATCTGACATGAGAGAAGAAGGACAAAGGATTAAAGAGCTGCCTAACAAGAAAATCCAGGATATTAATTACATCTGAGGGGTAGTTCAAAGTATGTCATCATAGTGATGGCATAGTTTCAATGGTGGATTGAAAGTAAAATCCTCCTAAAATCCCAAATGAATGCTGAAATAAATAAACACAATTTAATTAAATGAATCATCTTTTAAAAGAGGAAATGAATTTATTTGTAAAATGTGACATTGACTGATTTGGAATTAAATTTTAATATTATTTTATTCTTCCCTTTTCTATATAAATGTGTTTTATTACTGATAAAAGAACTTTTCATATAACTGAATGTGGGAGTAAAGCTGTGGAACAGACTTAGTGAGGAACTCAAACACTAAGTCTGTTCCACAGTTTGTCTCCGTTTCTCGTCATGTTGTCAGTCTTCATGTCCTACTGCCATGTACCCCCCATGTGCAGTTTACTTCATGTTGCCACGCTGCTTAGTTACCACGCCAGGAGTTTTGTTTTGTACTTTCAGTTTGTAGTTCTCAGCAATAAAGCTGCATAAGTTCATGTTTCGTCTCTGGAGTCCTGCATTTGGGTCCAACCTCTGCTTGCCACACAGCCAGACCTTGACAAACCCCCTTTTAACATGTTGTTACTGATTATGATTATTTAGTGTTAAGCCCCAATAGCAAAAACAACCATAACAATACGTGGACGCGTAAGCAAAATCATGTTTTCGATGACATTGCCATTGCAGGA